GGGAACCGGGGGGATGGATAAAAGCGTTCATAGTGTACCAACTGCTAAAGGCAGACCCCAACTGTTCCAACTTCAACCTTAGGGTGCAGGTGAACAGGTGGAGGTTCAGGGCAGGAAGCAACGATGAATCCCAAAGGAACAATTATTCGCCTATCTACTCCAAGCACATGAACTCTCAGTGGCTGGCGCTTTGGCGCTGCCATGGCAGCCGCACAACACGCAGGCGCACGGGCTGCAAAACAGATTGGAGTTTGTAGTTCCAGCTTGCCGCTTTGTGATGCTGGTACGCCTCCCGATGTTTGGCTTGTCTCTCCGTGCGGCTTTCTGGATTGAGACATGCTTTGCAGGATGCATCCAAAGCACCATGGAATTGCTTGGAGCCGTTCAAAGCTCTTGTGCGTTGAGAGGACAGTGCGACATGACCAAGAGAAAGCTAATGCGCACCCTGAGTAACTACCCCTCTGGCGAAAATACCATTGACAGACACCCAAATACAAAGTTTTTTCTAATGTCCTACAGAGGCCCGGCAAGTATACACATGCAACGCACACCTACACATCCTTATACATGCATGAATGCTGTGCCTGCTATAGGCAGCAAGTCTGAGAGCTGGGCCGCCAGTTTGCTGCCATAGGACTTGTTCTTCCTCATGCCCGACCTTTGGATTTCCAATGTGGACATAGAGGATTCTCATGCTGGGGTTATTTGGAAGAACAAAGGGCTATGTAGCGATTCTACCGATACTTATATGGCCTTTAGCAAGGCTTATAGGTGCTGCGCCTGTTTCATTGGCCTGTTTTGGGGGTTGGGAACTTTGGGGCAAGGCCTCCAGCTAAAGACTGCTTCTTCCTCCTTAGGCTCAAATTCCAAGACGTCATCCAGGGACTCGATCTGAATGTTTGGGTTTGGCAGAGACCGGATTTTTCAGGCTATATCGAAATGTCTTGTTTGGGATCCCGTCCTCTGCTCTTTACTTCGACAGGCGGGCTAATGGAAACATCCGAAGTCCTACGCGCAGGAAGTCTCCGGAAACAAGTGCGCGGCCAATGCGAACGCATAGTGATGGTCATCAGCAAGGTCGTAATCACCAACCTCAGTTGCAGGCTCTGAGAAAAAGGATGACCTTCGGGATCTTTAAGGCTTTTTAGGAATCCTGCAAGGATTCTGGGGCTCCCGATCAGCTTCCTGAGCTTTTCCTATATGATGCCCCTATGCAGCAGGTGAACATTCATTAGTTAGAGGAGTTGTTTTTCAAGGAGGGAGGTGGGGGACATGTCAGCGGTGTTTTTTTGGTTCGATTTAAGTTCCCATTATGCAAAACACCCTTCCACGAGACCCTTCCGCGGCCCAGAACGTTTTCAATTTTTGGCATCCTGCAAATAGTTGCTTGTTTTCGCTTCAGCGGACCTTCTGCGAACCTTCTCGCTTCTGCCAAGTATTTCTTACTCATGGAGAACAGCCCAGTACATAACGGTGCATCTTCCGCGACCCTTTCGCGAAGCCATCCCCTTCCACGAACCTTCCGCGTACTTCCGCAGCCAGGATCCGAAGCACATTCTTGAGATTAAGCTCAACTTTTGTGTTGCCGGCAACTTAACTGAAGATAGCCGGAGAAAAAAACGCTGCTCATGTTGAGAAACACTCCAAACCCACAGTTGCTTAAAAGCCTTACGACATTTTCAGAAAGCTCAATGTTCAATTTTCTGCGAATGCCATGTGCCTGACTGTCGTGATGCACGGAACTCCTCCAGTACGTCACTACGTCTTGGCGCTGGACATTATCAGCAAGCTCGCTGAAGAAGGCACCTGCACAGTCTGCTGCCACAGAGAAAGGTGATTTCGGATTCAGACTGAAGGTCTTTGACTGAAACGTGTGAGAGCCTCCGTTGCTTGCGGACGCTCCCCAAAACACTCCTTCGACTTCCGATGAATTCATAGCGCCGCCACCCTGCGAGTTTTCCTTACTTGAAGGCCCTGAGAGATACTTTATCCGGCCATTTCACTTTTGATTGGGCAGGTCTAGTCCACCTAGGACCTAGGCGCAACTCACTGGGGCATCTCAGTGTCGGCGCCTCGATTTTGTGAAGCTTGGCTCCATCCCAGGCGTAGTACAGCGACACCACCTGAGCCGTTATTTATCGTATGTTCAGACCTCGGCTTCTACCAAGAAATCACACAGGATAGGACAGCCAAAGGGCTGAGAAGATGGCATATAATAGTAATAATAGCAATAATAACAATAGTAGTAGTAATAATAATAATAACAATAGTAATAATAGTAATAATAGTAATAATAGTAATAAGAGTATGCCCTTCATTTTTCACTGAGCATGGGAGCCTGCAACCTTCTCTGGGCCGTAATCACGACGGGATCCCATCTGGCACAATCTCTGTCACTTCAAGCTGCTCCAAAGGCAACCCTGCCACATTGTGAACTCCTCGTCCTACCTACGAGGCTCCCTAGCCCACAGAAGTTTACCTCTAATTATAACAGGATTACGTATCCCGCAAGTATGCTACCAGCTTGAGGTTGCCCACTTAAGTACCAACTTATCAAAGGAGAAGTTTAGAGGCCCCTTAGTCGTACAGGGCTTGATCTAGCAACAGCATTCCATTTGCCCAGTCCCTGATCTCTAATGGTATCATCTTGGGGGCATTTCGTAACAGCTGGTGGGGAGTTTTCAGTATTAGGGCTCGTGGCGTCTCTTGACAGTTTAATAATGAGAACGTTAATGGAATTTCCTTTCTCTGTTTAAGGCAACTACGTGAGACAGGGATTGCACGAATGCGGAAAACAACGAATCCCTGAGCTAGAGTCTAAACTCCTAGTATCCCCCTTAATAACCCCTATAAAATCCCCCTTTGAGGAATTTAGACATTGGTTCTACATGTCTGAAGTCATTTCTGCATAAACCGAAGAAACCTCGCGCACTCCCTCAAGATCTGAACCCAAGCAATCCCTCCCCAAAACATTGAACGCCCTACCCCTAATGATGGTCATAGACTACATTGTACCACATCGGGAATATTCCTTGTTGAGGGGGTAGGGTATCATTATCAAGAAAAAATTTGTCCTTCCATGACCCCACCACTATATTTCCATTGAATCTCTGTGCACGTCGAGGCTTCTTTTAATGGACATTCAGGGGGCTGCTTATGACGGATTATACATTTATGGTTCATATAGATATGTATACACAGATATTTTTGATATGTATAATACATATATTATATATAACATGTACCACTGGTGGGCTTCAGCAACCCCAACGCCTGCAACAAGGACAACATAAGAGTCATATGAGAGCCACAATGCATTGATTTAGGGGTTGTTTATCCAAAACCCCATGCTTGATCTAGAGAAATGTGGGGGAACTTCTACATGACTCTCATCTTGGGAGTGCACGTCGCAGAAGCGCTGGGCAGTAATACTGATGCCTCTTGTGGAAAGGCCTGCGCACGCTGGTAAGCTGACCTAAAGTTCAAGGTAACAGCCACTAAATACACAAGGAAATTGGTAAGAGAGTTTGGACATAAGGGATGTGGTTTCAAGCCAGGACTTAGGCTGGCAGACTTTGCCACATGATGAGTGTCAACGAATGTTCGTCGCAACCAGGGTAGTACTGCTACAAGGGTTTCTGTGTCACAAGTGTCACTTCTTTGCGGCACCAGTGGCCCTACTCGTAAAAATTGCCGGGCAAAAAGACCGCAGGAAGGTAGCTACCAGACTCACTCTACAGCATGCACATGGGTTGAAGGGTCATGGTGAATCAGGCCGTGGGCGCGGAGCCAAGTCCAGAGCCAGCCCAAGGCACGTGCGAGATAAAGAACATCTACGAGCTACCGCTGCCCAAGCGCATGCGAGACGAGATAGTATCACAGCAAGCTTCAAGCGTGCCTAGAACCCGCCACCACGACTGTCGAGCCGACTGTGACTGCGCCATGCGCTTCGAATTGGCTAGGCTTTGGAGCACTCCACCTGTGCACTATAGAGGCCACGCGACCACACACACACAAAGTTTTGTGGCAACTAGTTGTGCCCAATCTGGTGATAAGTGATGCTTTGGGCGAGGCATAAGCGCCTGCTGCTTCCTGAAGCCATGCGGCTGGGCAAGGAAACGCTTTGCGGTAGGATTGTGACATTCAGAAGCCAGACCATGCGGATGCTTCCAAGGAAATAGAGATCTTCTTCTGGCAGTCTTAAAAGGAGGATTGTAATGTTTCAATCGGGAAGAAGCTTTTTTTGGAAGATACGCGCTTGCAGACGGGCTTCTAAAGCACCCCAGCTTCACCCTGTGGCCGGAGCATTTCAACCAAGATGGCCATTTCCTACATCCAGCGCCTCACTGGCACTTCCACAAAGCACTTCCATCTTCCTTGCAGGGCATTCCCTAATAGATCTTTGGGCGCCGAGCTCAACATCAGCACAAGAGAGTCACGCCTTTTTTGCCATGCTGCTGCACAGTGTGCGGCAACAAAGTCTCTCTAGCTGAGCGCTGCTAAAGACTTGTCCCATGTCTCCGCCCATAAATTCGCTAGCCGTTAGCATGCATGTCATGAATCCTTCTATGTTGGCACTTATCGAGGACATGATATGCAAAGACGTCTTGATGCACTGCGCGGGCCAGGCACCATGTGCCCCCCAGGAAGCTTGAAAAAACTCTCGAAACGTCTATAGGGTCATGGTCTCTTCATTTGCTCACTGCATATCCTAAAAGATGTCCCCAGCAACTCGACCGCTTGTGGTGAACTCAACTTTGACTGCCACCGCTGGCATTAGAAGGCGTGAGAATCTGGGGCACAAGCCCTAGCAACGCAAGGAGGCACGTTAACATACAGGCCGGCTCAGGTACCGATTTACACGGCCTGCAGGATCTGCTGCTTGTGAGCAGGAGCGTCAGAATCCTAACTAGGACTAGGATCATTTACCTAGTTGCTACTGGAACGAAAGTCGAAGGCACTCAAGCCTTATCGAACCGAAGACTACGTACTACAGGTGGCTAGTAGCCTTGCGCAGGCTCTTTAGCCATGCTCATTCTCACGTTCTTGCCTTTGAAGCTCTCTGGCGTCCAGAAAACCTGACCAAGCGTCTTGAAACGCAAGGGGCTGCCTAGGGCGCCTCTATTGATCTGCGAAACCCACATGTTGATGCGTGCTGGGTTCCAAGGTGTTCAAGTAAACTCAAAGTTCCAAAATCCTGAACCCTGTCAACCCCAGACCATTGGCGTTCAGAAGTTCTGACTTGGAAGTTTCTCAAGTACTCCTTCTTGAACTACCATGGAGTACCCCTGCCACTACAATATCTACAATCCTCGTGTATCCCTAATTTCCCCTGATTCCCTTGCAGTACCCTCACTTTCAGAAGATCCCTCTCCAGCAGAAAACCTAAACCAGCGATTGCGAGCCTCCGGGCCAACCGTCCTGGGAAAAATTTGGGGGGGGGAGGGTCGGGGGGGGTGGGGGGCCGGGGGCATTTGGCGTTGAGTTTCGGGACCCCTGTTATGATGGACTTTCCCCCTAAACAAACTGGTTGCATGTTTTTGGAAGGGGGGGAAGCACTACCTGCACGAGGGCTTCAACACTCGCATCGCATAGCACCGCTGCGGCAACGTCCCGGAGCGTCAGTCTGATATGCCACCTACAAAAACCCAAGTAAATTTGGAGTCATGGGCACCAATGCAACAGATGTTAACTCCCCTCAAAGCGGGAATGAAGATTTAGGTTCCTAGGATATTCTAAGGATTCTAGGGCTTTAAAATTTGAGACTCTCAGGCTTTTCACTTGTTCGGGCATTCGGGCTTACGAATTCCGATGTTGCGGGCTTATGGGTACATGTGCACAATTAGGTTCGGACAGTATGAACGTAATTGTGACCCTCAAGCGTGCAACTTCTGACCCCATACAGCACCATGCGCCAGTCATAGCCGCAAATGAGCAAACAGGTTAAGCTTATAATCAGATTTGAAGAATTAGAAAATTACGTGCTAAAGACCTGTACACCTCTTCTACTGGATAATGCTGGAGAGGATGCTGGGGAATCCATAATACAATACACACACTGCAGGAAACCCATCAGGCCGAAATTGCAGTCTTCGCATAGCAGCCGCATTGCTAAGCGCACTTCTATATGCAAAAGCAAAATTGAATATCCCCACTAGTGGAAAGCGCGGAACCGGTCTTTGGGGTCCAGCGCCCAAAATCTGAGAAGTAGCCTTCACCCTAACATCTTCATTTCTTTGCTGAACTAGCCTTCCCACCTTTCACAGAAAAAATGCAACGGGACCTTTCTGCAAGGCAAGCATCATGTTCGTAGGCTGAACCATATGAGGGTCTGCTGGCCCGTGCTTTGCTGCCATGCCGAGGCCTCAGGGCTCATCATTAGTGTGATTATGAATTACTACTATCCTCTCTATTTATTATTATTATTATTAGTATTATTAATTGGTACCCCCCCCCCCCTCCAAAGATCCACCGTTTTTAG